GGGGGGGGGGGGGGGGGGAGCTTTTAAAGGGGGGGGGGTGGGGGAAAAAGACAATTAGGTGTGAGATTAAGGTGGAATTTGGCAAAATGTCAGTAATGAAAGAAGAGATAAAAGTGAAGCAGTGAGTGATTAAATAAGAAACAGGAAGAGCCTACAGGAAACAGATGGTTGCAGGGAAAAAGAGACCGAACCTATGTGTGATTATAGAATTCCATTCCAGACATCAGATAAAAAATTAAAATGCATTGCAAATGTAAATAAGAAGGCAGGTAACGACAATATGCCCAAGCACCCAGTCTCAATGAAATCTCTGCATGACATCAAGGCTGAAATCCTTTAATATAAATTAATTATTCTAGCTGCATTTATTTCTATTCCAAAAATGAGAAAATTAAGGAACCACACATCAAAGGTCTATTATCATGGAAGCTGTAAATCTCACCAAAAGAATGCTCTATGATTTATTTCTCTTTTTCTATAACCAGGAGATTATTTTGCTCTGTATGAGTAAGGAAATGGAGGGTAATGTAAGGTACCTAATTAAAAACTTAAAAATATGGAGGGACATTTCTCTGAAGGTAATTATTGTGGCTGCCTGTTTCCTGTACAGTGTCGTGACCCTGAACCGTTAAATCAACCTTAACATCAGTACTTAGCATCCTTATCTCACCCAACACATAAGAGGGCTCTACACTCTCATGTAACATGTGGGTGATTCTTAATATGTGTCATTAAGGATTAAAGAAAGAAAAAAGATTTCAGTCCTTTTTAATTTCAGACCATCGCTTTACACTTAGATATTATTATTATTAAATGCTACATAATGGATTGCCCAGGGCTGTTGGAATTCTATAACCACATTTCATCATTTTCCCCCCCAAAAAAAAAAACAGAAATGTCCTATTCATTCCAGCCATTAAAGCACTGAAGAGCATATCAGGTCAAATGCTCCTATGCTGTTTTCTGTAATAACTCTGGATAACAGCACCATTCCCTGAGCATCATGTAATAAGCAAATGGTCATATGTTATGTAGCATAAGCAGTATAGTGAAGAAGAAAATAAAAAAAGGAAATAATTTAGTTAGAACCACAATTAATCAGGCTGTTCAAGACAGTTATTTTTCCTGCACATGCATGGATTTAGTTTCTCTAAAATGATTTTAAAAATTGGCACGTTTTTCATAATCTGCTGATAGTGTAGATGAGCCCTTAGTGAGTGCATATTCTTTCACAACATGGGAGGTGTCCTTTTCTTAATCAGGGTCTGTTCTTCTTTTTTTTCTATAAATATTCCGTGTTTAACACTGAGCATGAAATAAAATCAACACAGCCCCTCACACGATGAGGAATCCTCAGGGCTACAGAAGGAGCACACAGTAAATCATACAGTAATTAAAACCTTTTAACGAGCCTGGTGGCACCGAGCGTCCAGGGTTCTCGCTTTTATCTAAGCAAACTAGAACAGACCTGGAGGGAGATGAAGACGTGGGGACCCGGCTGAGCAATACAGCGCCTGCGATTCGGGCATCTTGGCATTTGGCAAGGAGATGCATGAACTTTACTCTTTGTGACGAGTTTGCGTTGTTGTAGACACATATATAAATGGCTGAATAAACACAGACGAGCGTTACATTAGGGTATTCGTCTGAAAAAGCCCTCTTAGTTCACTGCCATTACTGCTGTCATCCGTCCCGCACGCCGCCAGTGGCTGCGTCCAAGTTGAGGCTCCCCTGCTTTTCCAGTGTGTACAAACAGGGTCAGACCGCCCAGGGCCCACAGAAGCATCCATGCTGAATGACTGCCATATGTCTGCAGCAACATAATTTATTACAGATGCAACGACGGTTTCCTTTCATTCTTCCAGTGAAGAAACTTGGCCTAATACTTTTGTATTTTCAAGGTTGATGTACAAATTGCAGTTTGCTATTAAAAATTATCTACCCAGAGAAAAATTAAACTAATTTATATAGACAAAGGGTTTGTTTATGGCTCCTTTGCACAGGACAGTAGTAGTTTTTCCAGTTGTGTACAGTATCTCATACTTCACATTGGAATAGTTTTTGAGAACTTGAACAGCCCATTTTTTAAATTGGATCAGTCAATTTTTTATTATACTTATAACATTATATTATATTTCGTCCTTGTATTTTGTGCACTACAACTCAAAGTTTTGAGTTTTGAGGCTTTAATGTCCTTGCACACAAATGTGTGGCTAAAATTACACACTGACAGATTTGAAAACATATTAAAGAAAACCTCTTAAAACCATGTATTATAAGGTACCATTTTGAAAAATGTTGAAAGGCATATCATTTTCTGCCAGGACAAATTAATCCCTCAGAAATACGACTGCAGCATTTTGCATTGTATTGTCAGTAAAGTAAAAGGTGAAGACCATCATTTTTTTGCACATACACTACAAACAGAAAATGAGTTTGCCAGTGATTTAAAGGTACGGTTTTAAAGGTAGGGGATTTTCCATCATTCTTTGAGGTAACTGAAAGTTCCGGAATATTTCTTTAACTGCTGAGAAAAAAAACCTTGGCAATGCAGTCTGAGCAATTATATCATTTAACCATAAAAGCTGTTGTGCACATTTGCAGTGTTTGTTTTTGAAAAATGCAGAATTGGCACTTGACATCTGATGGCATTTCCATATAATTATTCCAAAATAATGGGTTTTGTCACACAAGCCCGAAATTGTTAAATAATTACCGACTTGCCAAACCCATGAGACACTTAGAAAAATATGTATAATAAATACAGATATCAACTATGGTAGTGCGGTGTGAGTCTGAGTGTGTTGGGGGGGGGGGTGGGGGTTCCATTCTTCTCAGCAATCCTTCCATTGTCACTGGCGTTTGTCTTTCATTATGCACTGCCCCGGGTGCCTCCCGGCCGGCGAAGGAGCCAGCAGTCGTTTGGTTTATAGAGATCATATGGCAAGGAAGCAGACTTTGAAAGGCGCAGCTCGAGCAGCATATTTGATGGATTTCCTATAACTTGAGTCTGGCTTTATTCTTTCCTGTTGTGGAAGCGACACCCTGCAGCACACGTGCCGGCCGGACATGAGCGACAGCAAGGGCCAGTCAAACGACAATATGCGCACTGTTTGTGCACGTCAGGGCGGCAGCGCCCCTGGGGGACAGAGGGAGGCTCTGTAAATAATCCAAATGCGGGCAGGAAACCACACGGAGTCAAGGTTGCCTTTGTCATTAACAATTAATGTAAATGCTGCACCAGGGATTGCACGGGTGCTACAGCGGTGCTTAATTAGCGTGTTAGCGCTGGAGAGGGAGGTGAGGGCTGAGTCCGGGCTGCGGCACAGACAGGCTCACCGGCTCAGCACACTGCTTGCACTAAAGGGCCACAGCACTGTTTTAAAAGTTAGATTGACCTGGCTGGCACCAGCGCTCTGGCCCCAACCGCGTCCCGCAGCTCTCCCAAGCAGCCGGGCCTGTCTTCGGTCATGCATAATGTCCGTCGCCGAATGGAAATGAATCGCCTCCGGGGGGGGGGGGGTTACTGGAATCTCCCGGGAGGAAAGCGAAATCGACGGGGCTATTTTTTATTTATTTATTTTTTTGCAGACATGCTGTTTCACCATGCATTAGCGTTTGGGATACCGGGAATGGAGAATCCAAGGTGAGTCCGGATTTTATCCGACGCCTGGTGTAGCAGATCACTTACCGTAGGAAATCAAAGTCAATGGCGGAGTATCTGGCCTGGAGAAGAGCCCAGAGGCCCCAGGAAAAGTGTGCAGCCTGGTTGGGGAGAAAAATAAGGGAGACGCATTGAGGATACTTGTTAATACCCAGGAACTGACAACACCGAACGGCATGAGTATTGAGATGTTAGTCCTGCTGCAGGGGTTACTGTGGCAGCACTGAGACTCCACTGCACAGCTGCATGCTGATTTAGGGAGGTTTGTGCAGCTGAAAATATGCAGTCAGCTATGCGCAGTGGTGCTCAAGGCTAAGCCCTTTATTATTCAGAGGCGAATTTTCCCCATAAAAGACTAGTGATATTATTGTTTGTCCATTAATTTCCAAGCACTAATACAGATCACAGGGGTCCCTGAAGCCAATGCTAAGAAACATAGGGCACAAGGCAGGGGGGCATGCAGGACAGGGTGCCAGGCCATCGCAGGACACATGCACACACGTGACCAGGTCATCGCAGGACACATGCACACACGTGACCAGGCCATCGCAGGACACATGCACACACGTGACCAGGCCATCGCAGGACACATGCACACACGTGACCAGGCCATCGCAGGACACATGCACACACATGACCAGGCCATCGCAGGACACATGCACACACATGACCAGGCCATCGCAGGACACATGCATATATATCACTGGAAATTTATAGATACAAATACACGTAACTTCATGTACTCAGAACACCCAGTACCTAGGAGTGCCCAGAGGAGAGCTGAGCTAACATGGGGAAAACATGCAAACTTCACACACACAGAGTGGAGCTGGAGTTTTAGCCCCCAGCCCTTGAGCCACCATGTTATTGACTGAGTCACCCTGGGAACTGTCTCATCAAGCTTTACTTAGCGAGCAGAATGGTGGCTGTGACTGTATGTGTGTTGGTGTGTGTGTGTGTGTGTGTGTGCCTTTCTGTGTGTTCGGCAATCATGGTGTACCTCTGCTTTCTGCCTAATGTGACCTGAGATAAGACTCCCAGATCCCCCCCTCCTCCCCCCCGAAATCACAAATATAAAATGTATGGTTTTTATGTATTGATAAGAAGGATTTAGATATGTTTAGTAATAATAGCTTGATACAGACAATATCAAAATAAGAGAAATTAAATGTTTTGGTACTTAATTCCTTCTCATCACAGATGTGATTTACAATAGCTTTGCAGAAATACTTGTCTTTGGTCCTTGTGTCATCAAGCAGTTATAATCTGGCCTTCCCTGTGCACCGAATGCTGTCATTTACATGACGACCTTTTTTGTGAATGATTGCATATCCATTTGAAACTCTTTACGTCTTGGTCTTAACTTCTGAATTGAATAATGTGAAGCAGATGATGAGACGATAATCACAAGCATACCACAATAATCACATTTGAGGGTTTTCCAAAAAAAGAACTCAGTACATCATAAGATATTTTCAACACACACCAATATATCACACTATTCATTCTGTGTATTCTGTGCAGTTGGAATTGACATTATCAAGAATTCCTTCCTTAAAACAAATTAAAATCTTGCTAAAACCACAAGGTAATCGAAATGTTAAATGGAAGCGTTTCATTACCTGGTACACAGAGTATTGATCTCAACAAAAGTAACTTTAGCTTGTAAACCAAGTTGCTATGCATTGATATTATTCTTACATTAGTTTTCTGTCCTAGTTTGAAGTGTTGCCATATTTTTTATTCAGAGATAATTTAATTTAAATTTCCTGCATGGTATGATAACTGATCTTTTTGTCTGTTAAAATATTTTTCTTGTTATTATGTATTTTTATTTTCTATTGCTCACAGTGCAGTGAAGTCTCTCTGGTGTACCATTTTCCGTACACTGCAGAAAGGCTGTACTGCTCCAGTGGGACCTGTAGGTACTGGCGCCGAAAATGGTCTAAAAAAATTGCCTTGGAAATACAGACCAAAAAGGAGGGGGGGTGGTCTGAGCATCTGAGTTAAACCGCAAACCTCCACACGTCAAAGGCTGAATGCAGGGGCTCTCTGCCAGCAGACACGCGTGTGGTATGCCGGCCATTAAAGCCTGTAGCAATGCACAGTGAGGCTGGACGCTGAGAAGCTGTAACTGGAAGCACTGGACCGCACCGGTGTCCAAGAATAACAGGGCCCACTGTGAGCTGCTATTGTAGCTGCTCAACGGCAAGTTCAGAGTTTCCCTCCAAAAGCGGCGGCGCTGACGTAGCCCGCGGGCTGTCAGTCAGGGCCAAATTCAATTATTTTACACAAATAATTTCGCCGGCGTTTTTCAGCCTGTGTCTGCAGGTTTTCGTCTGCTGTCTCTACGACGACGGCATTCGTCTGTCGTTTGTTTTAATTATAACAGCCGAAATCTGTCTAATGAAGAACAGCACCTGCATTTAGCGAAGAGGACTGACATTTGTGGGGGGGGGGGGCAGGGAGGGGGAGACAAAACAGCCATTGTGGTGGAGAGACCGCGAGCTTCCTGCTGCAAATCCCAGCCCAGACGGGCTCCATGACAGAGTGGAGATTTTTATATGAGTTTTTACCACTGCCATACATTTTGTTCATACTAGTCATCTAACGTTGACCAATGCTACATTTCCCATACACTTTCATGCTAATAAATCGGCACTTCAAAATTATAAATAGGCAACTTTACTTTTTTACAGCAACTTTTTTTTCTGATCAAGTACGGCATTAAAAATGTAATTTTAATTATTTGTGTTACTTGAAGTTGGATATTTTGTGGAATTAATATTTGCCTTCCTCCAGTCTAATTCTAAAGCAAAATGTCTTATAACTTTCAATGAGGATTGTAAAGATACCCATGTCTCCATAATGTTATGTCCGACTGTGACACACAGAAGCCTCGATTAAGCTGGAGGCTCTGACAGATTTAAACACTCTCTATTATTATTTGGTTGGAAAAGTTGATCAAATTTGGCAGTTCAAAATTTTTCGTTCTGACCTGCAGCAAAATGGCTAAAGCGTTTCTCCGGATTTTGTTATTGGGTAATGCGTCTGTCTGGCTGAGGCGCTGGAACAGTCTCCTTTCGCAGAGAAGAGCCCAACCATTGTAAGCTCCGTCATATTTACCCAGCATCTATTTCCAGAGTTACGCTCTTCATGGGTACAGAGAAAAAAATAAAAGGAACTTGGGCAGGGGGATTCTCTTACACTGTGTGACTGAGTGTTTGTATGTTATTAGTGTAGCAAGCTTTTTGGTTTTGTAAGCATGTAGAAACAAATATTAGTCTTACTTTGCTTGTTGGCTCATTTCCAGTGAGCCACTTGCCATCATTTAGACTCTTATTTTTTAGTGTGCCACAAATTAGGGGAAGTAACAATTAATAAAAAAAAAAAAAAGAGGGAAAATGGAATTTTGTTTTAACAGGCTGGATGGACCTTTAACAGATGATTATGTGAATGTGTGTGGTGGGTATTGTTGCTGATGTGAAAATTGGGCTTCGCACAGCTACATACATGTTCAATGCCAATTGGAAAGCACCATGTTTACTGCTAACGGTCCATGTGATATAATTTCCTTAGGATACTAAGAGCATCATTTTGTGATGAATAGGATGAATCTGGCAACAGCTTTGTGATGGAATGCTCCTTCATATGGCCAATAAAGTGTTATTTTTTTTCGCCTGGTCATTTTTGGCAGGACAAGAAGGAACTTCCGGAAGTTTCTTTACTGGGGGTATATCTGTAGCTTTGCGCATGAGTCTGCATGTTTTCGCAGTGCTTGTGTGAGTGTGTTGGTGCCTCCCCTTGCTGTGTGGAATGCATTCCTCGTCCACGGTGTCCCCCGCCATGAACCCTATGTTGATTGGGATGAGATTCAGGCTTTCCCCAGCTCTCCACTGGACAGTTGTTCTGGAAGATGGACGATTGGATTAACAGAGGCTAGGCGACCACCTGGCACCTACCCATTACCATTCTTTCTATGCAGATAGACTCTGCTCTACATAGCTCTGGAAAGCAGCTGTGATGGCTGATTGAATTTACATGCGTTACCATAGTGCGGCCGGACTCCCTGCACCTCCCGTTTTACTGCATGCAGCCATTGCTTATTTCCTTGACTGCTGCCAAACCACTCTAGCGAAAATAACCGAAGCTCAGGACACATGGAGTCTCAGTGCCGCGCCACCGTTCCGTTCCCAGGGGTCCAGCTGCTCTCCAAGTCCCCCGCCGGGACAGGTATTCCCGCCGGCCACACCTTTCCGAACGCGCACCTGGCTAGAAGGAACAAAGTGTTTGACCTTGTTTTGTTTGAAAGAGGCCTTGTTGGGATCCTGAGGTTTTTGAGGCTGTGGGCCTTTTACTTTCAAGTTTCACTCCATGGATGATGACTCAGGATCAAGAAGATTCTCAGCTTAGGCCAGGAGAGATGGATAGCAGGAGGGATTGAGAGAGGGGGCCGGGATGGATGGGTGGATGGATAGATGAACAGATGGATGGGGAAATAGATGGATGGATAAAGTGATGGGGAGGGATGGAGGGAGGTGGATGGATGGATGGATGGATGGATAAAGTGATAGGGAGGGATTGAGGGAGGGGGCAGGGATGGATGGATGTATAAAGTGATCAGGAGTGATGGAGGGAGGGGGAGGAATGGATGGATAGTTGGATGGATGGATGGATGAATGGATGGATGGATAAAGTGATTGGGAAGGATGGATGGATGGGGATGTGGGAGAGATGGGGAGGGAGAGATGGAGCTTGGATCCCCACAGTCTCACAACAGTTGATTTTCACGGGCTACCAACTCTTACAATGTCCTGCAACATGACACGCTTTTTTACAAATTTCTCATCACACTTGGTACTCATATACCTTGGTACAATGTCGTTAATGACTGACAGGGAAAGGTGCGAGGAAGGCCCCTCCCCCCCCCTCTATTTGGTGCGTGTTCAGCCTCGTCCCCCTTGCAGCTGTGCGTGACCCCCGAGCTGAGGGCCGCCTGCTTCGAGGAATCAGACGCAGCTCCACACCGAAGCAAGAAGGATCTTCGGAGGCACCGTTGGAGCCACAGGTGCCGCGATATTCTCCGAGAAACAATGGTGGCTGTATGGAGTCACAGATCCCCCTACAGCCCACCGATGACAGATCAGAAGCTTAAAGCGCCATCTGACTCATAACTCATCATGTACTCAGGATGAGAGCCTCTGCTGTCTCCTGTGCTCTCTTTTTAAAATAAAGAACTGAAATTACTAGGGGCTTTTAACTGCAGCTGTCACAGATTATTACTTAAATACACTTTTTGTTGTTTTTATTGAAACCACCTTGTGATTTTCAGTGCCTCACATTCTGTGCTCAAGCAATGGAAAGTATCCCCATTTATCTTTGTAATTAGCCCGCTGTCGACTTGCTTGTTCACAAGGGCCGGCTACAAGACAGAGTTGTGCAGGGTGGAACTGAAATGCTGCTGCCCCCCCCCCCCCCCCAGCGAAATAACGACAACAACAAAAAAACATGGAACCTGTTTAACATCGAAGTTTAACATCGCCCTCGCAGAACTTATATATTTGAAAGTAATAAAATATATCGAGAATGTGTCGTTTATTAAGCACCTGTTCTTTATTATGAATGTATGCTTTCCAAATCCCAGTGCGAGACGGGTGAACAAGGGCTATTTATCCTAAGAATAAATGCTGTCTGGGAAAAGAAGGCCCCTTTCGTCAGGGAGGCATGCCAAGCTCTAAGTAAGACTTACAATAACAAAATCAATTATAGATACGTAAAGCAATGCGCGTCTATGAAATCGCACTGGAGTATTTAGACTGCTGTTTATGTGTTCAGGCATGGATACGGATTACATTTAAACAAAGAAAAACATTGCGGTAAAAGGCAGTTCATTTTCTCTGCTAAATGTGTTTTTTGGAGCAATAATAAAGAATTGAGTGTGAGTGACATGTAAATAATTGAATCAACATGTATTCGTGTTTCATGTAGAGTATTGGGGGTCTGTCCCCTTTGCTCAGAGGACAGAGTGTAAGGAAGGATTGCAGCACATAGGAAAGACGGCTATGCAGAACGCTATGCAGTGGGCTCTGAGACAACATGTCAATACTGAAGCATGGTTCATGTTCAAGTCAAGCTGAGAATATCACTTAACACCTCACTCCAATGGCAGACAGTAATTAATAGGGAAATCATACACCTAAGTATTTTTTGCCATTAAGATGTGAGTCACTTAGCTCTTCGTGTTGGTAGGAAGAACTGATGTTAATGAGATATATGAGATCATGTGACTCGCAGTGAGAGCTGAAGAGGGCCTACAGCAAGCATGAAAAATATATTCAAAAAAAAGAAATCACAGACCTCTGGGTTATAATTAGGTGAATTGGGATTCAACAGTGAAGTCATAATAATGTCATTTAGTTGGATATAACGCGCAGAACGGCTCTTAAGATGAGGTGTGATCGCATCCTGCCAGAAGAACTCCCCCCGGCGATGTCGCGAAGGCGCGGCGGCGGCGAACTGCTGTCACGCCGGAGCGAGCTGTCATTTACACCTCACCTTTATTAACGGCGCACCTGAGCCGCCGCTGACACCCTCGCAGAAATATACACCTCACCCTAACAAAGTTGCAAAACAACGGCTCATTTGGGTAGCTAAATGAATAAGGTATAACCCTAACCTCCATACTCCTTGGTAGATGACAATGTATAACAGTATACAACAATGCAATCTGGATGGACAGAGGGGCAGAGTACCGTATAAACTTCAGCAATACAGTGCAAACACTTCTTATTCCTTTGCTCTGGATTATTAAAAATTAGCTACATGATGCATGGTCTACCGTAGGACATCAACTGGGCTTGCAGATGTGCCATTTGAGTGTAGCTCTGCGTCTATGTTTCGTGGTGACTCCCTCCTGACGTCTCGAATAAGCGGCAAACTTTGTAACCCATCGACTTCCTTTCACTCACAATTAACCGTAGTCTGCTGAAGATGGGAAGCTCAGGCGTGTAAATAGGATTTTGCTGTCTCAAATTGGCGCGTCGTAGTAAAGAACCGACATATCCCAGTCAAACCTTGGTGTCATAGGTGCATGTTCAAACTTCGACACGCCTGTCCTGCTGCCCGAGATGGAGCTGCTGACGGTGAAAGCCATCCGAGACCCAGGCCTGCAGTGAGGCCTACCTCCGAGTTAGAGTAAATTACCCAAACTGCCCAGAGACGGCCCCCACCAATGGGGCCATATAACTTTCTGCCACTTTACCTGCTGTCGTCATAACGTGCCAAATTCATTATGTCACCTACCGCCACCGGATCGTCACACCACTGCACCGAACATCTGCACCCTGTCAAATATCCTTCCCTTCATTTCTACTTAATTTTCTCCTGATATCTGATTACCCAAGGGGCCAATGTCCTGACAGACAGCAGGATGGAAAGCTGTGTTTCTAAAGGTTCTATTTGGTGGGGGGAATGGCACCCTGGGCTGGATACAGAACCATCTTCACTCCACTCATTAATATGTAATACTTTCATCATTTTTAATATCAGCTTTTTCTGGACTAGAGATATCTATAGGCATCAAAATCTGACATGATTCCTGCAGGGGTTTTTAATCTGAATTCTGGTGAATCTGCTTACAAGATGAACTACTGACAGCAAACTAGGACGAAGTGCCAGTTAATGGGCAGGAACCACATCGCAGGCTCTCAGTATCAAAGGTTCCCTAGACAGACGCTCACAGCTGCTACCCACTGATTCCGTCATTTTTAAACCAACTTCACTTATTCTCATTTATTTATGGAAAAACCAAAACAGAACATGTTCGAAAAATTGAATTTCGAACATTAATTCAAAAGACCCCTCTGCTGAAGGAACACCTCTGCTGGCTCTCACGCCACAACATCTCCCCGGAAAGTACTTGCACTTTGTCTGCTGATTGGAATTGTTCTACTTTGTCTGTAGAAAAGATTTGTTTGGTTCTTGCTTTGTTTAGAACCTGTTGTGTAGCCTTACACTCGTACCTGGGCGTTCACTGTAAGCTCAGCCTAGCCACACTTAAGCCTAGCTGACTTGACAGCTATATGTCTGCCATTTGTCTCACATGTGTGGACAAACCTATCTGCTAAATAAATGTAAATGCAAAACAGGCATCCCAAGTACTTCTTGAGCAGAATAGTAGCGACTTATCTTTACCGATTTCTTTCCTTTTTCTTTTTTCCTGAGCTATTTTCGGCTCATTCTGCCCCCCGCCTTGTATGCGCCGTCGTTAGGGTCCTGATACATCTTCACGCTGCCTTTGACTCACCAGAGAGAACTTGCAGACTTGAACGTACAGCTTCTGCACCTCCAGTTCCGAGACGGTGGGCTTCTGGCCCTGGCACTCTTTGTAGGTCTCTAGGTATGCAGTGAGCCAGTCCCTCTGCAGCTCTTGGCTGGGGTAAAGGCTATAATCAACATCATTCACACCTATGGGCCAGAAAGAGACTTTACATGTAGCGTACTGTATGCTGAATCGGCCTTTCTAACAGTGGCCAATCACTACAATTGTGAGTCACTGCAGCTTTTGTAAATGTACCTTACAATCAGAGTTATTGTGCTTTGTCTAGTTTAAAAACTGCTTGACCATTAACTCAACCAAAATTGAAAGTAGGCAACATTTTTGAAGTCCGATAGTAGTGTTTTTCCAGTGTTAATTTAAGGCATTGTGGCATTAGTATGGATGAATAAATTAGAAAAATGAGAAATAGTGACAACATGTCGAAAACACTTCCAGGATTTTCTAATTATGCTTTAAATCACAGTCTGAAATATGAAGTGCACACACCCACACAGGATAACAGCAAGCGTTTCCAGGGCGGATATGAGGAAATCAAATCTGCATGGCCATTCTGACACAGCGGAAATGTGCCAGGACTTGCTCCACGCTGCTCACTGATGGAGCATGAGGAGATATCCTGCCCTTCTCGCATAATAGCCCCCATATGCCCGTCTGCCATCTGCCCTCATTCCAGCCTGTCCCTAAATCTCGGAGCCTCAGACAAGCGTCAGGCAGCACATAGGCTGCTCAGCCAGGGATGTAGCCTTGGAAGGCAATCGAAGACACGAGCTGCGAGCCAGAGGCATGCTAAGGCACACTGACACCCCCAGAAATATCACAGCATATAACAATAGTCCCACTGATCTTAACCTCAGGGAAAGTTCTCTTAATGACTTTAATTTAGCCACAAATCTCTGCAGTCATGTTTACCTTTGCGTATCTTTTTCAGTTCTTTGGGTTAAGGCTGTAATTGGTTAATTGAGATTTTGTTTTCCATACCCCTCTGAGTCACACATATTGTATTACCTCTGCATCTAGTGTTTTCTTCAGTAGTCCCTTTAACATTCATACCAATAATCAAAGTTAACAAGACATGCTTTTGTGTTGCGGAATTTAGCCGCTGACTGCAGTTGAAATCAGATTAAGGTAAACAGCTCTTGATTTCTGCATTATCTGTCTTTGGTTGGCAGGTTAATTGCACTGTTTTCCTGTGGGTTACAGTTACATGGGGAGGCTGGGTCGCTCCTAAATGACGGATCAGGCCTCAGAAACACGCGCCCATGCATCTGACACCATGTCTGCTCCTCATTAACCTCCTGTCTCTGACCCCCACCGCCCCCACCGCCCCGACCTGGTTTTCAGGAGCGAATCCCCCAGCTTTTGTCCTTCACCATCCAGGTTGGAGACACGCTGGCCCATTCATTTTGCGCTTCCACCGTGGGGCACATTAACGTATCAATCCAGCATGAGGGAGCTTATACTACATGACAGGTGAAGTAGCTGTTCCAGGTAACCGAAAAGGCTGAAATCCAAGGAAAAGTACTGTGGTTGCACCTTAGAGATGACTTCTCTTGGCCTGAAGAAGAGCCTCAGTAAATATTCAGCAGCCTTAAGGGGTAAAGCTGTAAAGCTGTAACTGTGCTCTGAATCTAAGCATCCGTTAAGCAAATAAATTATCTGCAATCCCCGGCGAAGTCAGAAATCCTTTCCTCTCCGCTCTGCTCCAAGTCCGAGTCGCAGACATTAGCCTCAGCCGGGGAACATTTACACATTCCACCCGGCCCCTCGCATCCCCTGCAATTGCCCCCCAAAGCACTGTCTCGCTCCCGTCTGCTCCTGTTCACAGGGTCTTCATTCTCCATTGTAAAAGCACGAGTACAGCTACGTAGGAATTCTTCACATATCCCATCATGCCCCCTATGAGACACACACATATATAAGTGAGAGAAGTGAAAGTGAAGCTTGGGGGGGGGGGGGGCACAGGGTCAGCCGTTCATCCAGCTCCCCTGGAGCAGTATTCAGGTTTGAGGGTCTTGGTCAAGGGCCTGAATGGTTATATGATCACCTTGCCAGCCACAGGATCTAAGTAGGTGGCCTTATGATCATGGGGCAGGGACCACCACTGCAGCAAGGGGCGGATGCAGCCACCTTTGTCAAAGGTTAGGGCGTCAAACCCACCTGCAAATTCATTGAAGTGGTTGCCGATGTCATATGCCTGGTAGTTGAAGTCAGCGTACTCAAAGTCAATGAATCGCACAACACCTGAAAGGAAAAACAGAGTTATACTTAATGTTTCAGGGGTCCATGTAGATTTATCAAAGTACAGCAATTTATGTATGTGCTAAAAGGTAATATACAGTGTCTGTAGGGTTTATTTCTTGGAATATGTGTTAATCCTGCTGAGAAATGCTGAGAGAGAAATAGTTTAAGGGCCCAGAGAGGGAGCAGGAAATATTCTTTGTATAGACAGAGGAGCAACTTCTTTGTTTATTTCTATGAAATATCAATGGGAGAAGACTGAATGCTAATGAGATTCACATGAGAGGCAGAAGCCCCGTTCCAAACTTTCTTTGTAAACCTGCTTGCCTTCAGCCTTGTTGTAGATGATGTTCTTGATCAGGAGGTCATTGTGGCACAGGACGGTGCATGAGTCCACAGTGGATAGGTGCTGCTTTAGAGCCTCGATCTCGCTCACCAGCACCTCAAAGCAGGGCACCTCTGAGCCTGGCCTGGAAGTGGGCGACAGACGGAGAGATGGGTCACACAGCGACGTACGAGTGGCAAAACGGGCGTCTCTGTGTCACGAGGCCTTTTTTTCTTAAACAACTGAGTCGTCAGCAGCTAAACTGCAGAAAGCCAGGGGGCCCCTGGTCGCTCTGGGCGGGAGGAGGGAGCGTATGTGAAAACCACATGTGCAGCAGCTCGCAGTAAACAGTAAATATGCGGTACACTTGGCGAGCAGCGGCATTACTGGGGAGCGTGCAGCCAATTCGGTAAAACAAAGGAACACTGGTCTTTATTTTTCGCTGCACTAAGCACGGACACAAGGTCACGCTGCTTTTGGTTAGCCTTTGGCAGAAGCACTCAGACAATCCCTTCGGTGAGGGAGAATAAAACTTGGCATTTTGTGTCATTTATTTTTGGGATTTTTTTTCTTTTTTGTTTTTGTTTTATACTCTCAGCTAATCTGTTGTGTGAGATAAGAAAGTGCCATATTTACTCTGCTAATGTTATCGTTGTATGATTACACACTATTTTACATTAGAAATGGCTATGCCTGTACAGTGCTATACAGTGTAATGAGAATAAATGGCAAATATTCTCAGGAATAGCTTAGCCTCTTGCTATCTGATGCTGGTGGTGGTCAGTAACAGGGGCCCAGTGAGACCACCATGCCCACACCTCCTGCATTATGGGCTTGAGAGCCACTCCCAGCTACGTATGGGGAACTCACATGTCTCCCTCTAGGTTCTTCAAGTTTTCTCTTGTTGTCCAAGACCATGCGGTTTGGTGAACTGGTGTCTTAAAGTCAGTGATTCTCAAACAGGTCCCAGGGGACCTCCCAGATAATTTTTGCTCCCGGCAGAGAAGCAAAAATGTGGACTGTCTGGCAGGGAGCTGGGTGGAAGACGTGGGCTGTGAGGGGGTCCCGAGGACCGGGCTGAGGAACACCCTACGATATCAGCATGGCCTTGTACTGGGTAAGCTGTCGTCTGCCATGGGCTCCAGTGCAGGCCTGCCTTGATGGGGGGGGACCCCCGAGGGCTTTGGACTGAGTGGGCGGTAGCGGAGGGGTGGTGAAGGAGGTGGGGGAGGCTTTTAAGCTGCTGCTTGCCATGGCTGCCTGTTACTGGGAAACCGCATCCTGTACAGGTTTCCCTCAACTCGCAGAACTGTAAACGTTCTTCTGGACGTATGGGTGAGTTATACAGCTATACAGTCATATTAAAGGGTATGTTGAGACATATGGAGATGTATAACTCAATAAATATATACAGACAAAATAATAGTTATTTTTATGGGAATTTTATACTTTTTGTGCAAAAAAGACAAACAAAAAGAAATTTAATTAATGGCACAAAACCACAGGAAAAAACAGTGCCGGTTTTTCTCAAAATAGTTTTCATGGGGTGCCATTAAAGTTAACTGTCCTTCACAGCTGAACACGAAATGGAATAACCGCAATGCTAAATTCCTAAATTGACCATCGGTGCATTAAAAAAAAAAAAACTTAAATAAAAATAAAAAAAATAAAATGAATGTCGTTTCCCTTTGGAGAAATCAGAGTGCTGGTATCTTTGATGTGTGCCCCTTGATATATCTGGCCCATGGTGCCACATTCTCCTGTGATCTGTGGGATTAATTAGGTGGAATGTGCCGGCACCCGTTAAAATCATAATACTAATTTAGCCAATGCACTGTGGAGTCGCTGTGGGTGGTGGCGATGGTGGCCGTTTGTGGGAAACCTGTCCACCGACATATCAATTAATGCAGTCAACACAAAATAAATTGAAGGTCTGGGATGTCACGTGACAGCTCTGAGCGGAAATTTGTACGACGTTCCACTGTAGCTGAGATGTTGCTGTATCAATGCGCTCGCTCTGATTTCAGACGCATCTGTGTTCATTGACAGCGCAACAAGTTTTTGTGAAATTTATTGTCATATTTAGTAATTAAAATATGTTTCAGCATCTCTGACTTATAAGCACATGTGCACACATATTTACAGTGGTATTCATTCTTCTGTTTTCAGAGCGAGTGCCTGGTAGGATATTTCCCCTGACATTTGTGAAGAATGTCCTTTTGTAACTCAATGGCGGCAAACACAGACTTAAGGTTTGTGCTTTAGTTTAGGACAACATGTTTTTTCCAGAAGGTCTAGATGGAGCCTATGTGAACCATGCTTCAGTATTTCCTCCCTGTTAGACACAGCAAGTGCTGTGTGTTACGTGGCACGTGTCCTAAGCGGTTCAGCAACTCCACTGTACCTGGTTTGTTTTCCTCATCGGAAAGATCCCTATAAATCAAGCAAGGGAGGGTCTCTGCGGAGGCACCTTGAGCACAGCATTGTTCCTGCGTCTACACAGGACTGTCCTGCAAACAGTGTTATACCTATTTATGCTCTGGGACAAACGGAACGTTTTTGCACACAGCTGTCCACATAATTGAGTAGTGTGTCGGTCATAAAACTAAGGAGACAGGCTTTCCTGTTTACAGGAGCAACAGATGTGTTCCAACCAATCGTAACACTTGTTTTCATACAGCATTATTACATCACAGAACTCATTCTGCCTTTTCTCTTTAAAATAACTTTAACACAGCTTTGCATCAATGAATGTCTTTCGTTTTCCCCAGTTATGTCTGGGTTCATACAAGTAAGCATTTACTGAGGTTTTAAGAAAAAGAGCCATGAATTAATTACTTCCCTCAGCTGAACACATAGCATAGTGCCACACTTATTCAGGAACCCTTCAACTGTAAAGGCCCATGTCTAGCTCGCATTCTATCTCTCAATATCATGATTAATTTCCTCACACCCTCATAAATATGAAAACATTCTTTCCCATTTTGTATTTTTTGTTAAATTCAATTAGTGATACTCTGGCACTGTATAAAAACATATTATGATTAATGAAAGACACTAATTAAAAAACAAAACCCTTAATGATCAATTTTGAATTAGTCTCCTGCTCTTCAAAGTTCATCCTCTGTGGGGCCCATGGGCTGCAGTGAACAGGCACTGAGGGCAAGGGCTGGGGGAGCCGGAATAAACCGGCAAATCTCCAGCCCAGGAGAGCCCTCCAGAGTTGGGGTGGGGGGGAGGGGGGGGGGATGCAGGAGCACCGGCAAGGATGAGACGTGAGTGATGAGGATGGATGTGATCAGATGTCTCACGCTAAACACAAAAACTGCAGCTTCACTGGACTAACCTAAGGCTTGTCATTCATATGATATACTCATCTGAAGCAGTTTTTGGAACCACTTTGGGAGCTGGGACCCTGTAATCCAATATAACTTTTACTGTGAATGATAAAAGTAATTGCAGCCTCCTTCCGTAACTTTGTACCCTACATCTACGGATGTACAGAGAGCATTTGTCTCTGTATTATTTAAAGGTACCCAGACAAATCTGTACACAGTCAAAGAAAGTGTCATGCAAGGGCTGCTGTCACAGAAAGAGGATTTTGCCAGCAGAGGGAAGTTTTCTCTGTATACTGTGATAATGACATTATGGAGAATAGCGGCAGTGTATTAGCTTGTTTCTTTTTAATCCAATCTGTTAGCAGCGGATCACCATTTACTGCCCTGGTCTATAGAATAATGGCTTCATCTAAGGCAACAGACGCACATCAGTGCATCATATTTGGACATGATGATTGACACAGTATTGTAACCAGCATTAAAAAAGTGACCCTACAGCTTATTGTTCATGTATATTACTTATATTCATTTGCTTGTTTCTGGATTCTGATAGCTGTGAATGAAACAAATTTTTCATCCACAAAAATACATGTAGATGTTTAAATTCAAACTAGATGAACTACGAATGTGTATCTTAATACTATTAATCAAATTCACCCACAATTTCTTGGCGCAAAGAGGAAAACGAAGACCAACATTATTTTGTTGTGGATGATTTCACAATGTAAACTGATTGTCTTATAGGTGTTCAGCGTTAGATTTTCATTAACGGCATTGTTTCTGATTTTCAGAATTCCCAATCTCTTTTTATCAGACTCCTCTGCTTCATTCAAGGTAGTAGCAACCAGACTGCGTGTGTCACACGCCAAACTCAAAAGCGATGGGAAAAGAGAATTCGGCCGTTCAGGCCATTTGCGTGGAAAAGAAGTCCTTGCGGTAACCCTGCCGTATTCCATTAACACGGCCGTGGTAAAATGTACACAAACCATTGGCAACAATAATGCTACTTTATACAGACACACAAAGACACTCACTCACAGAGGAGGAGCGACCATGCAGACAGCTACCTGTGCTCCTTTGTGGCGACACCAAACACAGCATACATTGTGCATGCATGTGCTGTGTGCCCCCCCCCGGGGAGTGAATGGGAGCCCCCCCTCCTCACGGGGCCGTGAATGCTATCTCAGAGCACCAGCGTGCGGGTGCCGTGTTCCCACACCCGGCCCGGGCCGCTCCGGGGAGAGGGAGGAGTATTATTCCGCATGGGCCCCCCTCTCCTTCTGTGTGCCTAAATGTTTCCATGCACATTATCCAACAGCGGGCACCCTCTGAATGCTGGCTAACAAAGCGTGGGGCCGCATTGTCACTGCCACGTCCGAATGGCAGTAATCTGCGCTTCCCATCGCGGCATGCAGGACGCCGGCAAGCTGAGCGTCTGAAGGAGCGGCCCTGGGCAGCTGGGCAAAGCCCATGTGCGCTTCTCATGCCAAACAAGCGGACTAATCAACCCTTCCAGCTTACATCTGTGTGTCCATCCTCCAACCACTTATCCTCGACACGGTCCAGGGTATATATATATATGTCCTTTTACAATGTCTCTTCTACTAATGTTAACATATTTCGATCAGCAGAAACTGTACTTTCTCAGTCTCAGTTTACCCTTTTAAGTTTACCCCCCACACACAGTGATACACTGACCTGCCACCCACACACAGTGAAACACTGACCTGCCACCCACACACAGTGATACACTGACCTGCCACCCACACANGCCACCCACACACAGTGAAACACTGACCTGCCACCCACACACAGTGATACACTGACCTGCCACCCACACACAGTGAAACACTGACCTGCCACCCATACACAGTGAAACAGTGATATGTCACCCAAATACACTGATCTGCCACCATACACACCGATACACTGACCTGTCACCCACACACAGTGATACACTGATATGTCACCCATACATATCTTATCTGTCACCCATAAACAGTGATACACTGATCTGTCACCCATACACACTGATATACTGAACTGTTACCATACACAATGACAGTGATCTGTCACACGCACACACTGATACACTGATCTGCCACCATACACACCGGTACACTGATCTGTCACCCATAAACAGTGACATACTGTTTAAAGGCAGTCAAACTACATTTCATACTACCTACAGACAGTTTGTAACGACCTTGAAAAGCACATTATAACCACATATTATGCAGATCAAGTAAATAGGTAATAATAGACAGACTTAAATTATACTGAAACATAATTTTTGAATTTGTGATGTGTAGTCGTTATATATAATGTTTATTAAACTCAACGTGGTGGCACAGTAATATAAAAAAACACACGCTTCGCTCCACTTTTCGGAAAGCCTCACAATCTACTGCCACCTATTGATAGTACTGACTAACTACAGCACTTAATATAATACACCGATATTCAAAGAAGTGCCTTATATATTCTGGCTTGCCAAATCTCACCCATTTGCCATGACATCCCCGCTTTCAGACTCTCACGCTCACGCAAGAAATCTCACAACATATTCTATTCCATTATAAACCTAAAATTAGCTACATCAAAAGCGTTGGAGTAGTTTGTAAAACCTTGATACTATTTACAAGATAATAAAAGTGTTACATATATGTAAATGCATGTGCAGACTTATGTCGAATTGAAAATCTCACTCCAGCCAGCTGAGCAAACTTGGCAACCCTGTATGTTTGATAGTAAAATGTTTTCTACGTGGATTTTATTTACTACGATTTAAGTAGGCTATTATGTATAAATATTTATTTTTAATTTCTTATAATACTGATGACTTTGTTTTTCGGGCTTTAAACTTCCCTTAATCTCATCTGTTCCTTAATCTGATCGCTAATTGTGCGCATTTCAAGCACATCTTCATATATATATAATGAAAAAAGCCGCCATGCATAGTCCTGGAGACGAAGGTTAGAAATACAAACGAAAAGTGCGCCCTGATTTTGTTGTAGGGAGCGACATCCGATAAACTCAAAAACGACGAGCGGAGGAAGCAGGGTTGCCAACTTTAGTCAGCTGGCTGGCGTGAGATTTCCAATTCGAGACAGGTCTGCACACGCATGTATATGTATGTAACAGTTTTATTACCATTTAAATAGTCTATAGGGTTTGCAAAGAGCCCAAACGTTTTTGATGTAGCTAATTTGAGGTTTATATTGGAATAATATAGATTTGCCGTGAGATTTCTTGCGTGAGCGTGAGAATCTGAAAGCGTGAGTGTCACACCAGATGCGCGAGACATGGCAACCCTGGGAACTAGCAGTGGTGGAAGAGTAGTTTTGACGTAATTAATACATTTCATGATCTTCTTTTACTTTTTGTTGCGCACCCGGAAAGCTGTTTTCAAATGTCGAACGCGGTTTGTAGCCTCTTGAATAAAAGGTAACATCAAATACAATACAGTTTTTTAACACTTGGAAAAAATATGCCAATTAAAAATTTTTTTTTTTACTTTTTACTTCGTATATAAAAGAAATAAGCTTTTACTGTAATGAAACTTGTACATGATACAATCGGTGTTTGGTTCTGGATTTTAATCGCAAAGGTGCACAAGCCAAACGATCTCCCGACAGAAGACTACAAACTTCAGGCGCCTTTTAAATCAGCCCCCATCTCAGCCGCATCATGGCGGGAGGCGTGGGTTATACTGCATTCTCACTGCCCGAAGGCTACTGTATTCACAATCATATTAATGAGAATGCAGACGTGCATAAAGCCTTAATGGAATACAGTCTATAGTTCACAGTATGTTTATACTGATGCTTTGGCCTTGATTAGCTTACAGAAAAAAAGCATAAGAAACTCTGTATATTGAATGGTCTTTTTCCTTGACCTGACATCTACAGCACTCTGCCTAGTTTGTTATTATAAATCATTCGAGTTTGTAAATGAATTATTTAAATCCATTTAAACATGCTTTGAAAGAGATACATGAAGCAAGGTGATAGCTCTGTTATGAAAGATTCTGTCACGCTGGGCAAAACAATTCAGTGTGTTTTCTGATGCCTGTGGTTTGCCTGGTGCATTTCTTTGTATTTATATTTTTAAAGTATATTTCCATTCTTTAATAATGACATACATTTGTATTGTGTTGCTTGATATTGCACACAATAACAATTTAAATTTTCTTCGAATACCAAACACAAAATTTGTCCACAGTCGTCCAGGATTTTTTCTGGCTTGCAGAAGTCAAACAAATGTGTATGAACACAGTGAACGTTGACCTCTTGCTGTTTAACTATGACTCAGGCTGGTTTTTAATTAAATTCATGAAGAGTAAGGCTGTCAATGAACAAGAGAACCAGCCTATAGCTGGCCGTCAGTTATTAAAAGGCACAGCCTCCCTGGTGTAAGGGGTGATCTGTATGTACTAACGTCACCCCCGGGCTATTTTCTCTCTCCTTGTTTCTGTTTAATAGATGGCCTCTTGTTAGCTAATTGCTACATTGCCCCCAAACAAAAGAAAACAAGGAAGTGTTCCTCAAATGAGCTTAGTGAAATACAGGGAATTGGACACCAGTCTGCCTCTTCTTCCTGTTCGGCACAGGGCATCTGAAAACGCTCCCCTGGGACATTACATGCGAGCACCAAGCGGAGCTTCAGGGGAGACCTGGGAAGCCTCATGCTTTGCCATGGCTGCCCCCCTTTAACCTCTGACCTTGCGTGTGGGTAACACTCATGCATCACTAGCACCCTGTTGATGTATGGGCTAGCAAAGGGTCTCTTGCTGGAGTGGTCATCTCTTATCTAACACTGAAAAGGTTACAAATTTGTTTTTTGAGTGCAACATTTTGTGTGTTTAATCTTTTCACGATTACTGAACCGACACTGAAATGTTGCGAAATGATGCACTTTTTAATAATGTATATGTTTCATTTTAATTATGCACAAAATCAGTACAATATTCCATTCAGGCTACCCAGCTGATATGGTGTTATAAATATCTATCATTTTTGGGCTCAGAAAATACCAGTTGTGGGCATACTGGTGAAGCTCAGTGCTTTTTGCAGGTCCCAGTCCTTCCAGTGCGCGTGATCTGCACACAGCGGCATCTTAAGGGACAGGATAAGCTGTGCTCAGGGATATAAAGGGCCTCACCTCCTGTCGAGGGGTCACTGGGGCTATGATCATTTAAACGAGAACCCATTACTGTGGCCCCTGTCTTTAATGTCTGCCCGGTTTCCTTGATGATTAGGGAGTCTCCTTCCAGGCCCTTTGTAAATGTGACAGTAACGAAGAAGACCTCTCTTTAATGTTTTTACACCCTCTCCCCGTAAAACCCGAAAAACACAACAAAAAGCGAAGTAACTCAAGCCAAATGGTGCAGAAGTCACCACACTCAATATCAGCAGCGCAGAAGTTACAGCCTCGCTGTAAATGCCGAACCCCCCCCCCCCCAAAAAAAAACTACTGCAGTTGGAAAAGAATATTCTTTTATTGTTTTACCAAGACTAGTTATATTCAACATCTGAAAATATTTTTAACTATGAATTGGTCCTTCATGTTAAAACTATGCCTTAATGATGGCTGGTGGTTTTTCAACCTATTTTTTAAAATAAATTATTGAAAAGACTACCAAGAAATGCTGCTCTCTTTGCTGTGGTCACTTGAAGGGCAGCAGATGAGTGCCTTTAACAGAAATGTGCTTCAGGCTACCTGCTACTGTAAAATCTGGCAAATGTAATTACAGGATGAAAGTCACGTTACATAAATAAATCATGCACATATTTTACATGGAATCGATGCCATGATTCCCCTCTTAACAAGCAATAATCATTTTTAAGAGCAAAATAATACTTTATTCTAAAGGTCAGCGGTGCTCTGAGTTATAGCAGAACGAAGAGGTTCCTTGGCTAAATGTTTACACTGGAATAGCCATTAGCTGAGGGGAAGCTTTAATAATACAAATGAATTCTAATAACGGCTGTGAGCAGGAGGAGCAATCTGGCAGAGGGACAGACTTAATATTTAACTGGCATGTTCACTACTGCAAAAAAACACAAGGCAGCCATCACTCTAACTGCAGGGAAAAGATAAGAATCTCTTTATTAATTTTAAGGGCTCCGCCTCTGATGGCTGGAAATGCAAATTCTGAAGCGTGTTTTTCCAAGCGGGTGTTAACGTCTCTGTCTCAGGCCTGTGGTATCCACCTTTACTAAAGACTCAGCTGGCAGACTCTAATTGATTGTTTTAATTGATTGGGCTGTGGGGGGGGGGGGGTGACTGTGGCTGAGAGGCAGTTTATCTTAATCAGTTGAGAGGGAATCTAAAGCAGGGGCTTGATTTCTTGCAGCTGATCACTGCCGCACTGCATGACAGATGGGGGCCTTCCATGTACTCGGGGGGTGGGGTCACTTGCGAGCGTAACGCATCAGGGGCCCCGTCCGTGTAAGGTGGAGGCTGATGACACGGGAGCCCCCGAATTATGACATTGGCCGGCTACCGGCGGAGGTGTAGAAGCTGGGAGCAGTGTGAGAAGGCAGTGTGAGAAGGCAGTGGCTCCTCGCATGGCGAGAGCATAGCATGCAGAGAGTGTTCACGCAGCGGTCCACACTCACCACCCGGGGGACCCACTGTGAGCGGCTTTAACCAGGCACAGGAGCTCTGAGAGCTTCTCCCACAGGACGGGTCTGGAGGAGGAGCCGTTTCTGGGCTTGATCGAATGGATCCTCGCCATCTCCTTCGCTATCAGCCTCCAGAAAAAAACAGGAACAATCACTTTCCTTTCATGCCTTTTTTCGCATTTCATTAAGACTACTGAAAATCCGACAGGACTGTTTTCATGTTACATTATTTAAGCTGCATGATCACTCAATCTGACTGAAAGCACAATATTGTAAAGCAATCATTTTTTTTTCAGATGGATTGATGAATGTTACTTGTAGTTTTCTGGCTTAAGAAGTTGCCCAGTGAAATATTGTTAAATCATATTTCATTTAGAAATGTATTCACTTTTGGTCTCCCCTGACACAGAGCTATTCCTAAACCAACATCATTCTAAAATAACCTCTTAAATAAAATCCAAATTCCTCAGTGAAACTCTTGGCTCAGCCACCAGATGAATCCCTTCCATAATGCTGGGGATGCTGAATTGGGGGTGCTTGTGTGTAAATCAGCTCCAGGCAGGGGTGTTGGCAATAGCGGGGACAGGTGGGATTTGTTTAGTAGTGAAACTGCACCCTAAACAGTGTTAGTCTTATTTTTTAATTATGAAATATTTATCTTTCTAAATTATTTTTAAATCTTTCTTAAATCACATCCCTTCACGATGTGCGCCCATTGCAATGTCACGATATACATCCCGCCACTCCATCCAAAGCCAATGGGTCCAGAGATTGGCAAAGCCCTGAAGCAGACCCCATAGGCACCTTGATAATGACATCTCAGTCTATCTGATTGCCCTGTGGGACTGTGACTGATTCAAGCCATTTTTGTTTGTGTTTGTTAGTGCCTGGAAGACAATGAATTCATCAGCAGGTCAGGAACGTCATGAGTGATTCTGAAAACCAGATCTAGGTCAAATAATAGGCTTATGATGTGGTGGAGCTTATTTATTGTAAAAAGGACGAGTGGAGGTGAACTTGGGCCATCCAAGCATTTAGTAACTGGTGGACATGTCTCACGTGGCTCATTGGATGCCTGTATTGGTACCACTTCACAAGAATGCTACTCTTATGAAGGGTTTACGAATCCTTTATAATCAGGTTATTAATTGGGTTGTAACACTTTGGAAATTGTTATTAGACAATTATAAACAAGTTACAACACTATTTCTTATTATTAATGAGCTAATTACTACCATTTATAAGTGGCAAAAGGGAGCCTTATATCAATATGATGCTCATATGAATCTGAATCAGCCTGCATGACCTTAATATAATTCTACAGGTGACCTGGAAATACATTGTTACTGCAGAAATGCCTTTCAGATATTCGTTTTCTGTCCTTGGTGGCAGGTTGTATAGAGGGAGAGAAGATGTTTGGAGGATAACAGCTCAGAGTCAGCTTTTGGGTGACACTGTAGTCTGGAGGAATGAGGAGGCAGAGTTACAGAGCTGCCTGGGCACAAGATATTAAATGACGAGCTAAAATCTGATTCATGAAAAGGCCTCTTTGGGGGGAGAATCAGAATGATAGGGGAGTTGGGGGAGGTGCTGTGGCTTTCAGCGCTGCCTCTTTAACATGTTGATATACAGGGAAGAGCGAGACACCTCAAAGGCTTGGTGTGAGATCCTGCCCGAGGGCATTGTCTGCGTGGTTAGCACTCTGCCGGCCTCCTGCCTCTCCGAGAGCCAGCCTGTCCGTGCGAGCGCATGTCTGAGTGCTGTGCTTACCTGTATATGACGGGCTGTCTCAGCAGATTATCGTCCATCACCTCTCCCTGCACAAACTCATAGCAGATGCCGTTCTGGAAGCTGCAGTAGAGCTCCGGGGCGCAGTCATGTTGATGAAGCACCCGGAAATTCTCCATCTCCCTCTGGCGGTCCACAAAGAGCTCGGTCTTGTTTCCGTAGATACGGACCAGCACCACGTCTCCCAGCAAAGAGTCTACGAAGCAGCCGATCAGCTGGTTGGTGATGCCTTCGGTGAAGTACTGCTCATGAGTGAAAAGGGGACATTTCATGGGGACCAGTCACAGCTGTTCTGGCAGTTTACCTTGACTCATCTGGCAGTTTACCATGACTCATCTGGCAGTTTACCATGACTCATCTGGCAGTTCACCATGACTCATCTGGCAGTTTACCATGACTCATCTGGCAGTTTACCTTAACTCTTCTGGCAGTTTACCTTAACTCATCTGGCAGTTTACCATGACTCATCTGGCAGTTTACCATGACTCATTTGGCAGTTTACCATGACTCTTCTGGCAGTTTACCATGACTCATCTGGCAGTTTACCTTAACTCTTCTGGCAGTTTACCTTGACTCTTCTGGCAGATTACCTTGACCTCGGCACAGCTATCACATCATCTCCATGTGCAAGTACATACATTCTCTAAATCTAATAACAGGCATCACAGTGGGTCATGCTGTTAACGTACTGAAAAGTCACAGTACTATTTACAAGTTAATCTTTCTCTGAATATTATCTAAGCTCACACTGCCTGTTTTCCAAATGAATTTGGCTGTCTTGTTCTGTTAGCTATTGATAGCTATAATGGCAAAGTCACACGTGCTAACCTGGAACGCCGCTTCCAACGGCTGCGCGTGCTTAACGTCTTAAGGGAAGACAGTCATTTATAACCAACTTTCAGCTCCAGTGCTGAAATGCTTTCAGCAGCACTTCACTTCCCCATCTTTTCATGTGCCTCCGCATGTTTATTTGAGCAGGTGACCTGATCTGCTTAATAATTCTGCCGATTGTACTCGGCTTCTGAAGTCCCACTTTAAAGGAGTAAAGCATGCCTCACGTAGTCAAAGAGAACCCTGCACACCTACCAGCATGTTCCTCACATCGTTTCCAGGGCCTGAGTCTAGTTTTCTTTCTTTCTTTTTTATATTTCAGTGTGGCATAACTCTATTGCATTCAGACCAAGATCAAAGAAGTCTCGCTGCCTGTGTTTGAAGTCTTTTTCCATTTGAAGTCTCTTCCAAAGATGCTGAGTGTAAAACAAAAGTTTACACATCTTTTGGCCTTTTCCTAGCAGCACGTGATGTGTCGGGTATTGATTGTACATAGGAGAAGTGGGAGAAGAAAAGGCAGTGCAGACATGAGAACTGGCACGTAAATATCAGATTGCATGGTAAAAAAGGCCCTCAGCTGTGTACCGAATATACCAAGAGCCTCACTGCTACTTGTGCACCCAGGAGAGTAAAAGGCCAGTGAAACAGATGAAGAGATTATTGTGGGCGAAGTGGGGGACAGGAGATGTTGTGAGCCTGTGACTCAGAGGGAGTGAGCATGGGGATTGGGAGGACTGTGTGTGATTGGCAGGGGGTCTAGCCAGTCGTAGGGACTGTTAGAAAGGTACAGGTCACAGGTACAGGGATGGATCGATTATAAGAGGTTCACTGGCAGTGGAATGGGCCAAGCTAAAGGTCCAGCTAGCAGGATTTCCACACACCAGCAACCTTGGACCGGTGCTGCCTGAATGACAGGTTATTTGCACATCTGGACATGTGAGGCAAGCATGCAGGGAGGCCCAGGGGCTGCTCTGTCGGGCCGGTCACAAGGCTATGCCAGCCAATCAGCAGCTGGCTTTTTTTTTTCCTATAACAAGAGTCATTCAAAGCAAAGGAAGACTTCAGCCCTTTTTGTAGTGAATCTTGGCATTAGCTGAGTGCGTAGCTGAAAGCTAAAGTAATGCAGGACGCCGCGTTTCAATGTCACCAGCTTTTCGAGTGCACTTCACAGACGGGCGAGATTACACTGGAACAACAACTGCTCCATTCAACTGAAAATTAGCTCACATAAATTCAACAGGGAAATTATATATGGACAGCAGGCATTTTGACGCGGGAGAACAAGTGGCCTTTGATGAAGTTTGCCTGTTTAGCTAAGAAATTATGATTCTATGGCTAGTAATTCTAGGCAAATATGCTTTTTCAATATTGTGTCTCTTTGGAACAGCTATAGGAAAAAATAGTGGTGCTTGTCCACAGCATCCTGAGTTAACTGATTTACCTTCTTATAATAAATTGTTATTTTTCTTGTACAAATGGGAAGCTGACTTATTTACTGTAAGCATTCAAGGGACTTCAGAGCCCATAAAGCAAAAAAGGTTCAAATGCCTGATATTTCAAATGTTATGATTTTTACATATTTATTTTTGAATCTGTGCATGTAGTAAATTCAAGAAAAAAAATGGGGCTATTTCAATAAATGATATCAATCTATTATGCTGTACATAACAGACACAGATAAACGTATACATACAGATTTGGGGTCAGAGTGCAGAGTGAGCCAGCATCTCCGTAGCCGTTGGGGTTAAGGGCCTTGCTCAAGAGTATAATGGTTATATGATTACCCAGCCATTCAAGCAGATGATCGGTTATAGAAATTATGTGAATTTCAGTTGTACTTCCAGAACATTATTGGTATCTGAGAGCTTCTAAGTTAGAAGCCTGTAACCCATTAACTGCAGCCGGTGGATGAATTCTATATCTACTGCATGGTTCATTCCCATGTGACTCACAGAGGGCAGTAAATAACATACATCATTCTCAGCACAGGGCAGCAAAATGAAAACATGAAAATTGTTTCACAGGCAATACAGGAAAGAGCAGACTAAGGAGACCCTCAAGCCAATGAATAAGCACTATAAAGTCATCTTTCCTAAATGAAAATGCTTTATTTAATTACCTTCTATGGGCTAGTGTCAGTCTCAAAGGAAAAGCTCCTCTCAAGTGCACCTTGGCGATCAGCTCCAGTGTCAGTGCTTAAATCCCTGTATCTGCAGTGGGAAGCACGTCGCTTTCAAGGCGTCGAGTCACATTTGCATGCTATTTGCACGCAGGCTGCTCAGATCTGCTTTCACAGACAGGCAGAGGGCTCCTGAAACGCCTCAGCGCCGCACAAGGCCTCCACGCTGAATAGGAAGCTCACGCCCAGTGCAGCTTCACGGAGCGCGCCTTCCTCGCACATCTCGGGAGAGTCAAACGTCAAGCAGCGTCCTCTCTAAAGCAGGAGACGGGGGTTTCATTCACCTGCTCTCCTATTCACTTACTACATCTCTTTGATCCCTGTATCAGTATTATACATGCCTGCTACATAATTGTTATCAGCTTACAATACAGGCTGGTTTGTTGCCCTGAACACTGTGTTCCGCAAACTTGTTTTTTTTTATTACAAAGGAATGACTGTAATTTGGTCTTAAGGCCTCTTTGGTGTCACCACCCACAGCACTGTACCTATAGACAAGGGGGATCTGAAGGGACTCGGATAAAGAGCAAAGAGGAAAAAACATTTTGCCCTGAAGCTGCTGATGAGGACAGATCTGCCTTCCAATTGGACAGAGCTCAAGCGCTGGCCTATGTATTCAGCTATTATCAATCTACTTCCTGTCTCCCATCATCTTTAAAGTGATATATTGAAGAGGTGTAACTATTTTCCCCTCAATATTTTCTTTATTTTAGTGGGGCATTTCTTTTCCAGGTCACACTCCGTGGTAGTTTGTGTTGTGCTTAGTCCCAATTAGATATATATCCACCTGACAATGTAACCATGCCGATTTGGAACTCCAAGACTGTGGGTATGTCAGAGACACGATCGTTGTGATTTACAGTGATATCCGAAGTGGGACGTGGGATTTAAGTGTAAGAATGCGAAACCAGGGAAGTGTATACGCAGTCTTCAGGCGCTGATGTGATCACGACTGAAACACGGTCGGCGCTCGGCATGGACACTGACGCCGAAGCCCGTTGGTAAAGGATACGGCTGTGAGGGAATGTGGGAGACGCGTGCCAGCTGTGACCCCCCCTCAGAAACATTACCACACTCCCCCTGGAGAACTGTGGATTAGTCAATGTGCAGGCAGTCTGAGGCTAATGCTAATTTTTTGTTCCTGAAGTAAGACTTTCATGCAGCCTCAGCGAACAGCGGCTCCTTTTTCCTGCATAACACAGAGCATCACTTTAACTTTTCATAGTTCTGCCTGGCCTCTCTCTGCCCAAAGAAAACAGTGTCTGAAGTGGGAGGAGGCTGCGGGGCAGGTACGCTGGGAATTGGCCGCGCTTGTTTTGCCGTGCCTTCTGTTCCGCGGCCGGGTTTCAGATGGAAGGATCTGGGGTCGGCTCTGCCGGGGCCACTGGGAGCACAAGGCCTATTACTCCGGGAGATTGCTGCACTGTTTGCTGACATGAATAAAGCTGTCCTCTTCAGAGCTGCAAATTCACCGAGGACCGCCGCGTCCCCCCTCGCCGCTGCCGGCCCCAGAATCGAAGCCCCCCCTCCCCCGGGGGCTAAAGCTAAAAGATGTGGCGGCGGATGTTTCAGGGCAGCGATGAAAAGGCAGGGAAAGGACTCGGGCGTTGATTTGTGTTTACTCGCTTCACAGCATTGTGTCATTTTAGATAGTCACCCCCCCAAAAAAAAGATAACTGTCAGTGATATCTGGCTACAGTACATAGACATAAAGTCCCGTATCTGAGTCAGTGTCAGTTTCCCTCCCCTACTATGAAAAATTCAATGGTCCTTTGTCTTAATCAGACAAAACATGTAGAAACTCAAGTGTATACATTTAAAAAAAATTCTGTTTCCCAGACAAGAGGTTTTCTTATTTTATTTTTTTTAAGAAAGCAGATTTTAAGTTGTAGAAGTGAGCTAGTTAACCTTTGCACCACCCAGTAGCGATGGAGCCCAGCGCATGGCAAGCTGCCCCCAAAGCAAACATCCATGCGCTCCCTTCCTCGAGGTCAAAGCCGTTAATGCAATTAAAGGCCTTGAGGATGCCCCTGGTCTGCCGCGTGTCTCCCGTGTCCTCACTCCAGGTCACACTACACCAAACTGAAGACTTTAAAATTGCAAAAGAACAATCCAAGTTCTTATTATTAATGTCAGCGTTTCCGTTGGTATCTGGAACTAACCTGGCATGTTGCTAAGCTTGGGGTTCTCAGCCCCAACTGAATCTGAATGAGCCCCGGATGATTTGTTTAGCTCAGATGTTTTAACAACTGTCCTCTCAGTTTGAGAATTCCATACATCACAACAGCCTTCCATACATCACAACAGCCCATTACCTTCATAGTGCTACCATTATTACGTCTTTGATTGGCACTAATGCATGCAGAATTTTGATGCCCAAATGGGAGAATAGTATGGGCTTGCTGGCTGTAAACAAAATGACAGTTCTGTCATGATGTTGCACAGAATTCTAGTATTCATAGCTAAAATCAAAACATTCAGCTAACGGAGTCTTATGGGGCAAGCTAATAAATGCATTTTGTCTTTGTGTTTGGAATAAATACATTTCCACACTGAATATACAGACTCTAAAATCTTTTTTGGATAGTATTGCAATATGATTATATACGTCAATAATCAAGGAATTAACCCCCAAAACATGTAATTGATCGCAATTAAAAAATGTAATTGACAGCCCTAATTCTCTATTCTCTAGAGGGACGAATTAGTAGAGATGTTAGCAAGCTAGATTAAAAAGAAACTGAAAACACTAGATTTAATGCATCACGTCCTAATGTGGAATTAAATAATAATAATAATAATAATCACAATCAAAAAAGTTTTGGATAGCTGGAGGAGTTGTAGGTATTGGTTATGTACTGATTGTGGTACCATGTGGTGCTCTGAATGACATTAATAAACTTTTTTACATGATCATTTATTATTGTGAGATGCGATGGCCTCTATGCTGTTAAATAACATTGTGGGTCTGAGCTAGTACATTTTTACTGACCTAGTTAGCTTACTACTAGATGGCTAGTAGTTAAAAAGAAACAGAAAAAAAACTAACCAAAGTTAAGGCTAACTAGATTAATTTCATTAGATTTAATGGAAACTAACTAGATTTAATGCATTACCCACAGCTACATCAAAGGGCAGAAGAGGGTCCCATGCTGGCTAATATCAGAACTTCTTAACTTCCACCTTTGATTACAGCTGAAGAATGCCGTCCAGCTAGCTTGCTGACTTTGCTAGTGATAGGTTTCCATACTAACGTTAGACGATCCCATCTGGGGTCTCTATGCTGCCTATGCGGACTGCAAGCCTCAGTATTGACCAATGCTGCTTGGCAGAGGCTCCCACACTTGCCTTCAGTTTAATCTCTTCTGGCTTCCACTCGGGCCGCAGCTCCTTCAGCAGCACCAGGACATTGCTCCTGGGGTCATTCTCATCCACAGCTATGCCAAGGTGAGGAAGGGGGTCCTGCAGGCTCTCTGCTCTGCCTTCCATTACCGGTGTCCAGCCTGCACTCAGCCCCAGGTAGTCACAGCGCTACTGATCACACACGGGACTCATCCCGGCTTTTTATCCAGTAACTGAGTTTGCCCACGATGTTACCAAAGTGCAATGTTCCCCCGGGCACCTTTTACTTTATGTTGGGGGATTGTATATTAACTAGACTCTCCAAAAAAGATTCTGCAGTGTAAAGTACACTTAAAGACTTATAGTAGGCCTTATATTGGACCTGAGCTGCTGGAATTGCACAAACAGGACAGGTTTTGTTTAACTGAATGTTCTATGTGTGATAATAATTACACACCCAACTCAATCAAGCAGTTACAATGAAAAAGAGGGAATTCTGTCACACAATAATAAACACACATATTCATTCTGTAGACCATAATCATAATTGGAAGGGCCTATATTGGAACACATACAGAGTAATAAAATATTATAGTACAATATATACATGAGGCATTTCCAAAGTGTTAAAGCCATTAATGGGTCACACTTCTGAGGATATGTAAATCCTTGTGTTTTGAATGATTTATTTTCACTCCCGCAAAGTATCTTCAGTCATAATTACGCTAATGGCCTATTATGGTGCATCACAAATCAATGACTGTGTTATTTAGCTCATGTCTGCAGGAACACGGCTCCGGCATGCAGCCAGCCCGCTACGAAGGAGCTGCTGTCTGAAGGGGAACGGTGATGGCCAACTTCACCAGGGTATCTCTGCCCCAGACGTCATTTGGCCGCATTCACTTTGTCGTTGGTTTCTTCTGCTCACAGGATCACAGAGAGGCAATAAAATGGCTGTCTGTTTCCGGGCTGTCAGGTTACGCTGGTGACCTTGGTGACAAGCGGGGCCTTTACGTGAGCCGACATTCCTGCACTCCCTCATTCCCCCTGTTTCCGGGGTGTTCAGTTGGCTTGGTGACCTTGGTGACACGCGGGGCCTTTCAGCAAGCCAGCATTCCCGCTCTCCCTTATGTCATAAATGCATCTGACTGTCTGCCATCTGATTCAAACAAAAGATACACTACAAACAACGTTTCCCAATCTTCCATTGCATTTAATGACTATTTTTATAGAAAATGTCTGTTTATAGTTGTTCTGCTTAATACATATAGATGCTAGATGCAAACAAGGCAGATCAAGAAGCCAGCTAGGTGTAAGTGTGTGACCAGTAATACGTGTTAGCCTCGGAGCAAGAGCTCCAAAATACAACACAAACATAGCAAGAAACCAATAAAAGAACAAATAAATTAAATTAATCTGTTTTTACAATAATAAGTAATAATAGCTCTAGTACCCTTTTGTATTTAACATTTAAAAATATTTGAGTGTTAGGTTATTCCTAGGCTGTGCTGTCAGGCACTTACTACAAATATCAGCTCTTGCTTTCAACAGAGTGTTTGTTTTAGAGCAGCTGTAGATTGATTCTGTTGATTTGTTATAAAAAGGTCTCTGTGGACCAAAGCTTGTTGTCTTTTGAAGAAGAGCTGAAAAATTCAGCGCGTGTTGTGGAACGCCGCCTTGCGCATCGGCAGTGAACATGGGCACAGTCGCTCTGTCAGCGATCGGTAAATAAGCGAGACTGCGGATGAAGAGACACAGAGAGGAGGCTTTTAGCGATGCAGGAAGCGACGGAGCCTGCCTTAAACCAGCACCGGGAAACGAGGAAAGCGGAGCGCCAGATCACTCGTAAATGTTTAGGGCGCATGTTTGATTTAAATCTCATATTCGTTTTTTTTCTTTCCCTTCTCTTCATTTTTATCAGTCAGCCTTCTGTACCTCATAAGGAATGAAAAAGAGAAGCGAAGCAGATCTTAAGAGACAAACGAGATTAATCATTGATTAAAAGTCCAACAATTTAAGACTTTTTGAAACTCTCGAAGGAAAACATGAAAGAATAATTTTGATTTTTTTAAGTGAGAGCTCTGCCATCTCCTTCAGTTGAAATGCTTTTGGCAACACTGCCACACACACAGTACATATTTAATGAAATTTATAACAATTGTCCCTCGATCGGATGAAGTGCTTGTTTAAAATGCTAATACGTTCTTTTCTGTGACATGCTGTAATTAAACATAACAATACTCTATTTCTTCTCCTCACACTATGTGGTTCTCATCAAGGGCTTTGAAAACAGAACAATGATTGACCACCTGGTCCCGTTACTGTAGTGAGATTTATTAAACTCCCCATCTGTATAGAAAATCAATGTGTGATTGCATGGGGCTTGTGGGTCAGCCCTGTTTTACTGCTGAAGATATAATTAGCTCAGCCTACATGCTATGTATGTTGATGACTATTCTATATATTTTTTTATTATTGTGAACTTATTTGACAGATTCATGATTTCTTTGGATTGCTGATAAGTTTACTTAAAAATATCTCCATAGTACTGCTCACTGTAGAGTGCAGAGTAAGGTCTGGCAGTGAAACTGGTTAACATCATGGTGGAACATCGGCCCTTCGATGAACTCCACTTACATTTCCACCATTTTGATATATTGCATTGCATAATACTTTCTTGGATTCGGAATAGCTGTTCACTTGCGTGGCGCCAAACCCTTCAGTGATGTTTCTGCTAATGGGCAATTTACCAGCCATTTATAGTCTTGACACAAGAGGGAAGATCTGATACACTCTGCCTCTTTTTAATTTGTTCCTGCCCTGTGCGTTTGACGTGATGTTCGGCTGCCCTTGTGAGTGCTCTTTCATAATAGTGAAGTGCATTTTAATTGTAAAATTGTTGCATTTTACTGCACAACCCAATGACTTAAAACGTCAGATTCCATGCCTGCTTAGCAGCAAGCTGTGATTAACACAAGCAGGCTGTTTCTCAGAAGAATAGCACCCTAAGAAATTAATCTGGCCTTGTCTCTAGAGTCACTTTATAATTATTATTTTGCATCTCAGTTTAACTTAATCAAAGCACTCTCGTAGATCTTGCAGTACAAATAGGCACAGGGCCTTTTGGAAGGGTGCGTGATGAATTTATCTTATTCTGCAGAACAGATAAATTAATTGGATTAAAGTTTTCATCATCAGTTTCTTTTCTTGTCCACATCCATGCATCTCCTCTTCCAGCTCATTGCTTCCCAGACACGCTCTCCTACATTCTCGCAGCTAAAGGTGGCGCCGCCTAACGCAGCCGGCATCTAACATAATGTTTAATATCCATCTGACAGCTATCGTTTGGCCAGCTTTTGCTCCCAGCTGATGAATGTGCAATTACCTGGCTTGACAGACCTTGTTCATTTTTGTTCCCTCTCCAGGCATGCATATGTATATGTGATGTTGTGCACCATAAACAGGGTGTTGGGGAGGGGAGGGTATTGCAGCTTGAGGGATTACCCAGGGTTCATTGTAACCTTGCCTTCCCTGTTGCCTTCACTGTGACAGTGCAGACTCATTTTTACATAAGAACATAAGAAATTTACAAACGAGAGGGGACCATTCGGCCCATCAAGCTCGTTTGGGGAGAACTTAACTAATAGCTCAGAGTTGTTAAAATCTTATCTAGCTCTGATTTAAAGGAACCCAGGGTTTTAGCTTCCGCTACACTAGCAGGAAGACTATTCCATACTCTAACTACACGCTGTGTAAAGAAGTGCTTCCTCAAATTTATTTTTAAATGTTCTCCTGCTAATTTCCACTTATGGCCACGAGTTCTAGTATTTAAACTAATATTGAAGTAGCCATTTGGCTGAACAGCATCCAGACCCATTAGAATCTTATATACCTGGATCATGTCCTCCCTTAGTCTCCTTTGCTCAAGGCTAAACAGATTCAGCTTAGCTAACCTCTCCTCATAAGACATTCCTCTAAGACCAGGAATCATTCTCGTAGCCCTCCGTTCCACCTTGAGATATAACCCAACATTCTATTGGCCTTTTTTATTGCTTCCTCATACTGGCGAGAGTGGGACATGGAAGCATCAACATACACACCGAGATCTTTCTTTATTTCAGTGGAACCCATAAAATATCTGTACTTTATGTTTCTGCTCCCTGCATGGATTACCTTACATTTATCTGTGTTAAATTTCATCTGCCACCCATCCATGCATCTTCCATGGATGGAAATGCACTGAGTGAGACTGGAACCTACCCCTGGAAGCGCATGGCTCAAGACAACGTACATCGTGGATGCAATGCACAGGGCACATACATCAATAAGCTCCTACATGCCATGGCCAATTTACACACGGACACACACACAAACACATTTGTATACGAATCTTTGTGGGGATTGTCCGTTTACTTTTATGGGAAAAAAAGCAAACCAAATAGAGGCTGGAAAACAGGAATGCGAGGGGTCAAAACGGAAAGTATAGAACAGGGAAGGGCACAGGCAACAGGAAGGTGACAAGACAGAAAGGTACTTAAATACAAAGGTTAACGAGACAACAAGCGACTGTCGTGGTTTATCAGGGCCATGTCAGGGAGGAGACAGGAGGGCCAGGCGGATATGAAAGGCAGGGCATTACGGTAGCCCCCCTCTCCCCCCCACCAAAGCGCGCCATCTGGGCACAGAGGACGAACAGGGGCGGGGACCAAGGGGCCAAGGACATACCGGACACCAGACAGGACAGGGCATGGCATTACTGACAGGGTACACAGGACAGACATTGCTCAAGGCTAAACAGATTCAGCTCAGCTAACCTCTCCTCATAAGACATTCCTGTAAGACCAGGAATCATTCTTGTAGCCCTACTGTACGTTGCACCCTTTCCAAGGCAGCAATGCCCTTCTTGTGTTGCCCTGGTGGTGACCTGCAGGGAATGAGGAGGCAACCAAGGTGACAACAGAAGATGATGCGATGCTGGAGCAACACCAAGGGACAAGATGGGAGCCAACAGGACAACAAGAGATGAAGTGGGAGCAGACAAGACCGCAGGAGGCGAGCAGGGCACAGCCGAGACACCAGGAGGAGAGCAAGACACAGCCGAGACACCAGGAGGAGAGCAGGGCACAGCCGAGACACCAGGAGGAGAGCAGGGCACAGCCGAGACACCAGGAGGAGAGCAGGTTGAGTTCCCTGTGGTCCAACAGGCAAGACACAGCAGGCCGCACTGCCCAGAGTGGTG